GGAGCCTGCACTCCAGAACTTTCTCTGTCCTGTACTAGAAGCAGTTGCTGCCTTCAGTCCTGTCTGGTCTGAGTGGTTGGTGTGGTACCAGGTGTGTTCTCAGAGGATGGTCCTCCAGGGATGAGGTGCTGTCATCCTTGGTTCTCCTGGTGTCCTTGTCCCACTGTGCAGATCCTGTCAATCCTACTGCAGTGTGGTGTGGCTCCCTCTGGAAGCTACTCCTGGTTCGGCTGTGGTAGGACTTGTTTCTGCAATGTGCTCCACAGGCTTAAAGCACATCCCAGGTCTCTGTCCTTACTGGGGTCCAACCCAGCCTGCTGGCTCGTCTTCTGGTGTCTCCTTTTCCTTTCTTTGCCTTTGCACATCCTTGGCAGCACTTCCACTTCTGTCCACATTTGGTTTCCTCTGTGATCTTCCTGAGCTGAAGCACAAATTAGAGAAAGACAAACCTTTGTTCTTTCCAGCTTCACCTGAGAATAGCCCAGGCCATCCTTGGATGGAGACAAGCTTGTTTGATGTGTTCATCCTGGTGCTCTACTAACCTTCCCTTTCTCTCTTTTTCTCTCTTCTTCTTGTTTCCCTCATCCTGTCACTGCTGCAGAGCGCCTGTACAGCCAGCTTGAGAAAAACCGCCTGCTCTCTAATGAGCTGAAGTTAACGCTGCATGATCTGTGTGACTGAGAAGGGGCTCACTAATCCCATAAATGAGCTTATTGCGACCACCAGTGCTGTGGACCACAGTGAAATCTGATCATTAAGACTGGCAGACTTGTGAATTTTATGCAATTGCCGCTTTTTAATGAGGCACTTGAATTCATCCTATAATTTATTTAAGCATTTTTTTAACATATAAAGGTAAACTCTATTCTTGGTGAAGTAACACCCAGACTTGGCTGGTTTTTGAGCGGTCTTGTTTGCTTGTCCAGGGGGTCCTGCCTGGCTCCTCCATGGAACCAGAATGGCTGCACCCCTGAAATGAGGGGTGGGGTGAAGTTAGGCTTATGTCTGCTTGAAGCTGCTACAACTGAATTTGTGATTAGGTAAATGACTGTAGGATTTCCTGATGCATGGAATGATGGCTTCTGCCAATGAATGACCGACCTTGTAGTCTGTGAGACACTGCACACCTGTAGTGTGTTCCTATCTAGGGGAGTCCTAACCGAGAAGGTGTGGGGTAGCAGTCATTTCCTGGGCCTGACCCCAGTGCAGCTGCAGAGCCCTGGAAGGGTTGGGAAGGCTCATGGATATCTTGGCAGCAAGTCCCAAAATGCACAGCCCAAAGCTGTGTCCTGGGTGCCTGCAGAGTGTGTTTAAACGCTGCCATTGCTCATGCTCGAGGAAGACTGTTCTCTCTCTGTGCACAATTTCTGACTCTGGGGAGGTTGGGAGTGGCTTTGGGAGTCTGCCTGTACCTAAAGGACATTTTTCAACAGCCTGTCTATCCAGTGTCCCAGCGTGTGGATGTCTCCAGTGATATGGGTGGGCTCACCTTTGGAGTAAAGCCTACCTAGAGCACTAGCTGCTGATCTGCTCTCCTCCTGGCTTAAGGAACATGTGAGAATCGACTGCACAGCTGCCTGTAGTCTTGGGCAGGGTGCAGCTCCCTTGCTCCTTGCTCTCTGCCTGTCACTGCCCCAGCCCCTGCCCCGCTGCCCTCCAGGCTGGTGGTCTGCTCCCTGCTGCTGGGCTTGGCATCCCTGCCCTGTGCTGAGGGAAGGGGATCATAGCCACCTTCTAGGGGTGATTTCCAAGTGTGTGTTGCTCTCCGGATGCCTTGCTGGGCCACGTGGATCAGCTGTGGAGGTGTGGAAGCCCTGGGGAGAGCTGGCTGCAGTCGGAGGCACCTGCATGTGAGACACTGCCTAGGGCTCTGGCTGAAGGCACACCATGACTGTGCTGACTGGGAGCACAAGCAGTGTGAGAGGCAAGGGCTGCACACAAGCCAGGTAACCTCAGAGCTTCCAACTGCACCCAGCCAGTCACCCTGGCCCGAGGATCGCTGCGGCAGCGTGCAGGGAAGGGGCTGGCACAAGCTTTCTGTGGCAAAGGAGTTTTGGTTGTCTTGACACTGCTTTGTAACTCTCAACTCTTGCTTTCTGCCAGATAAACTGAAATCCACCAAAGAGGAGCATCTCTGCACACAAAGAATGCTGGACCAGACCCTGCTAGACCTGAACGAGATGTAATAGATCCCTGCCACCGCCTCCACCACGCGATGCCAGGCCCAGCTGCTGCTGCCCTCTAACCCTGGGGACCAGAGTTTACGTTCTGTTGCCAACTTGACCAAACCCAAATCTCCTTTGCCCCAGGGTTAAAGGCCACCAGGTTGGGCAGAGCTTCAAACAGCATCATTAAGGGAAATAAACAATGCAATAATGTTTGGGGAGCATGTTTGAGATGTACACATTTTGTAACTACCTTTTTTTGTAGCAACCATTGTAAACATTCCAAATATCGTGTGAGGCTGGTGAGCTACACTTCAAAGCTCTTGGCTTTAAAATTTGGTATTAACCTTCTGTTAATTGGCTCTAGGCCACCCTGCTTTGGCAGGGCAGGAAAAGGGTGTGATGGTGCTTGCTGTGAGTCAGAGTAGCCAGGCTAGGGATGGAAGCCTGTTGGGAAAACTTCCTTTCCAAGAGCTGTTGGCCAAAAGTGCAGTTCAGTTTCTCAGCTTTAAGGTAACTGTGTTGGGGAGGAGCAACTTGTGTGAAAGGTACTTTTTTTTTTCTTTTTTTTTTAAGCCAAGCCAGTCATCTGAACAATTGAACCTTCACAAGGATTGTGTCCCTGCCCCCCCACCGTTGGCCACTTCCTTTCCTGGTGGGCTTAGAGCAGCCATGGCCCCTCTAACCCGTTGCTACCCTGGGGCTGACTTTGCCTTCACTAAGTGCTGGTGCACCAAGCTTCACCGCTCATTGCTGTGTTACACTAAACAGCTTAAGTACAACAGCCCTGTATTCTTGGAGAAGTGTTTTTGCCTACCTGGAGGGAGGGAGCTGAGCCTTCCCTCCTGGCCAGGACTGCTCTTACTGTCTTAATTGAGTACAAGCCATCTCGCTGTGCATTGCTGGTGTTTCGTGGTTGTGAGGCATGAGCGCGGTATTGCCACGCTCGCAGCGTGTAGCTTGTGGTTTGAGCATGCTGCTTGGTTGTAGCAGTTTTAGGGGCCAATCTGGAGACAAAAACCCTATCCAGTGTTTTGATACTAAATTGAAAAATTGTGTTACTGTCTTTTGAAATAAAAACTGATCCCTCCACACCACTGCTGGCTGCAGAGCTTTACTGTGTGTGATCCACTCCATCTGGGCTTGTGGGGGATGAGGGTGGGGATGAAGGCCAGGGTGTGTGCCCATCTCCTGGGGATGAGACCAGGCAGAGGGTAAAGATGGACTTGCCAGTGTCTTCCTAGGGCTGGAGCACAAACGTGGGACTGTGGGGTTGAGTCCCTCAGTCAGTTTGGAGATGACAGTGAGTTGCATGGGAGTGTTGATCTGCTGGAGGGCAAGAAGGTTCTGCAGAGGGATGTGTACAGGCTGGATCAATGAGCCAAGGCCAGTGGTGTGAGGTTCAACAAGGCCAAGGGCCAGGTGCTGTCCTTGGGTCACCACAACCCCCTGCAGGGCTCCAAGGCTTGGGGAAAAGTGGCTGGAAAGTTGGAAAAAGATCCAAGGGTGCGGGTGACAACAGGTGAACACAAGCTGGTGTGTGGCCACAGGCCCAGGGCAGTGACCATCCCCTGTACTGGGCACTGCTGAGGCATCTCCAGTCCTGGGGGCAGTTTTGGGCTCCTCATGACAAGACATTGATGGGCTGGAGCGATTCCAGGGAAGGGAATGGGGGTGGAGAGGGATCTGGAACACCAGGAGCAGCTGAGGGAGCTGGGGGGACTCAGCCTGGAGAAAAGGAGCCTCAGGGGGACCTTCGTGCTCTCTGCAACTTCCTGACAGGAGGGTGGAGCTGGGAGGGGTCAGGGTCTGCTCCCAGGTAATAAGTAACAGGATGAGAAGAAATGTTCTCAAGTTACGTCAGAGGTTTAGATTGGATATTAGGGAAAATTTCTTCACAGAAAGGGTTGTCCAGCCATGGCACAGGCTGCTCCATCCAACCTGGCCTTGAACACTTCCAGGGTTGGAGCAGCCACAGCTGCTCTGGTTAATCTGTGCCAGGCCTCCCCACCCTCACAGGGAAGAATTCCTTCCCAATATCCCATCTAACCCTGCCCTCTGGCAGTGGGAAGCCATTTCCTCTTGTCCTGTCACTCCAAGCCCTTGTCCAAAGTCCCCCACCCAGCTCTCTTGGAGCCCCTTTAGGCACTGGAAGGCTGCATTTTCCTGAGCTAGAGAAGGTTTGGAGAGCACAAGGAACCATCCTGAAAAAACCCAAACCCTGAGCTCAGGATCTTCCCCTGGGGGAAGGGGTGTAGCTGTGCCTGTGAAGCAGGAGGCTCTTGCCTGGTTTAGCAGCCCAGCAGTCCCAGGGGCTGCTGCAACCTGACAGGGAGCAGGGGCCGAGGGGCTGCTGTCCTGCCTGTGCTGGGTGGGGGGATGCAGGCTTGTGCAGGATCAGGGGGGTTGTTTTCTGAACTCTTATTGTTGGCTGGTGTCCACACCAACACCTGGAGAAGAGGGACTGTCAGCTGGAGCCTGTGCACTCCAGGACCTGATGGGTGAGCTGCTGGAAGCAAGCTCTCCCCAGCACTAGGAGGATGCTCTGAAGCAGATCACTGCAGGAATAAACACTAGAAAGGGGATTGTTTTAGTGACAATATAAACCCACTTTTATTTATGTGCTCTGCCACCTCTTAAGGTCATTTAAAGATACAGGTCTGAGTGGAGGGGGAAAAACTAGCCCTCCCTCCCTTCCTTGTAGCTGTTGAGAAGGGTGCTGTTTGTTCCCCAAACCCTCTGGTGGCTGCTCTGCTGCGATGGCTGAAGAACATGGAAGGCAGTAAAGTGCAAATTCATTGAGCAGGGAATTGTATGCAGAAACAAAAACTTTCAGAAAGAATAGAAAGACTCTGTGAGAACCTACAGGTCATGATGGTGCCTGTACCCAGGCTCTGTAGGGTAAGAAGTCGCTGATTTGTTCTTTGTTATTTTCACTAGTGCTAATTTTTCACCAGTTTTGAAGCCAGTCTGAGCCTGTAGATGCTGAATTAAGGATTATTTATTCTCCTGTTGACAGGCTGTTTACTCCATTGTGATGTCCTTGTTGATATGATAGCATTGAAATTATCTTCCAAATTTGAGAACATTCTGGACAATTCTCCCCCGGAGTTTGCCGTGAGAGCTCTGGACATCAAAAGATGTACCTGTGAGGTAAGCTCTCCCATTGTTAATTCCACAATTTTAACTCTTCCTGCTGAGAAAGAAATGCTTCTTGTTGTCTTCATCTTTAATGGAAAAGGAGGCTTGAGTTTACTTATGTCAGCAACCAAGAGTCCATGACATTTAGTCTCTGTGTGAGTTCTCCTTCCTGTAGGTGATTATCAGATTCCTTTAATTTGTCAAATGAGCTTTTTGCAGAATTAGAACTTGCCCTTGAACGTTATGTCATCTTTGTGGATATCACCTTCCTCCACCAGCTCAGCAGTGAGGACCAGTTGGACCTGATCTGCTGTGTCTTCCTTCACCAACCTGATTTGTAGTAAAAGAGACCGTGAAGGCAAACAGGACATTTTGGAGCCTACCCGTGAGTTTCTCTGAATGCTTTAACTTCACAGAGTAGTTACTTGCGCACTCTGAGGATGCCCATATTATCTTTTGTTAAATTGAAAATCATGAGAGAATTCCCGTAAAAGAACAAGGATCTTCGTGTGTGAGCCCCAACTGCTCTTAATTGCACTGTAGAAGCTGGATTTTTAGGTAGTAAGTAAATTAAAAGCTCAATTATAAAACCTTCATGTTTCCTTTTTTTTCCAGGAATATACTTTCCCTCTGTAACTGCATCCATCCTGCTGGCAGTGGGCAGCTCAATCTTAAGGCTACATCTTTTCAAGTGCAGTGATTTGAAAACTGAAGTTGATGTTTCTCCACTTGATGGGCTTCTCTCTAAATCAGACTAATTAACTCCACTGCAGACTAACAACAAGGAAATGGGCCCTGGAGCTTGGAAGGCATGTGTCAGAATTGCCTTCATGCCACTTCTCTGCTGCTTGTTTTTGTTATGGAGTGTTTGGATTCAGGGTACTTGGATACTTGGGAGGATGAAGAATGAGAACACTTCTGCTCCAGTCCTTGATTCCTGCCCAGGAGTTTCACAGTGACCCTGTGCCTGTCCTCTGTTCCCCACCAAAATCTGGTTTATGGCAGTGGGAAGATGTTTCTGTTATGGAAATCAGCATCACTGGCACTCCCGTTGCTTTGGGACAAAGCCTAATGCAAACTTCAGGTTACCAAGCCAATTTAGGAGTGCTCCTATTATTAATCCCCAGATTAATAACTTCCAATAATAGAGTTGCATTTCTTAATGAAAATCATGTTACCAAGTTGCTGTTGATGGTTCTTGGGAGCCAACCTTGTGTTTTATTTCAAGTTTCACCATCTGCCCAGGAGACAGGAGGACGCTGGAAGTGGAGCAAGAGTATGTGATGGCTGTGGAAGTTTATGACACCAAAGTGTATTTATCTGATGTGAATGTGTGTTTACTTAACAACGAGCAGCTGCCAAAGGGAGTGCCATGGGGAATTGTGCTACAGATTTTAGCACTAATAAGGAAATGAGAGTGAGAAGGGAATTAACCCTTGTTGTGTTATCTCAGTCTATCCTTCACACACAATTCTATTCCCATATAATCCCCAAAAATCTTCTGTGTGACAAACCACTACAGAAATGCAAAATCCTGTGAGTATTTTTGGAAAGTGCATTGGGTTTTCCTTGGAAGGGAACACACTTTTCACTGATTTCTGTCAATTCACAGGACCTGAGAATAACTCACCATAATAAAACACAGCTGGTTTCTGTTCTGCAGGTAAGAGGCAAAGGTGGCAGTAATTTTCTTCACATTTTTTTTTTCTCTAGTCCAGTAGGTCATGTAACAACACTCTTGTTCATACCTATGTGAAAGCAACTGCCCTGTGCTTGAGGTTATGCCGTATTTCATACAAATCATAGACTCACAGACTGCTTTGGATTGGGAGGGACCTTAAAGATCATCCCATTCCAATCCCCTGCCATGGGCAGGGACACTTTCCACTAGGAGAGATTGCTTCAAGCCCTGTCCAACCTGGTCTTGGACACTTCCAGGGATGGAGCAGCCACAGCTTCTCTGGGCAACCTGTGCCAGGGCCTCACCACCCTCACAGGGAAGAATTCCTTCCCAATATCCCATCTAATCCTGCCCTCTGGCAGTGTGAAGCCATTCCCCCTAGTTCTGTCACTCTAGACCCTTGTCCAAAGTCCCTCTCGATTTCTCCTGGAGCCCCTTTCAGCACTGGAAGGGGCTCCAAGGTTTCTCTGGACCTTCTCTTCTCCAGGTGAAGACCCCCAGCTCTCTCCTGTCTCCAGAGCAGAGGGGCTCCAGCCCTCAGAGCAGCTCCGTGGGCTTGTCTGGACTCGCTCCTGCAGCTCCACATCCTTCGTGCTGGGACCCCAAGGATGGAGGCACCACTGCAGGGGGGTCTCAGCAGAGCAGAGGGGCAGAATCCCCCCTCACGTGCTGCCCACACTGTGGGGATGAGCCCGGGACAGTGTTGGCTTTCTGGGCTCCCAGTGCACATTCCTCATCAGTTTTCCCTAGACAATTCCTTCTGCAGTCCCTGCAGCTGTGAGGAGTCCAAGAGCTCTCAGAAATGCAAAAAACCAGACACTTGGATAAAAGTCCATGCTGCACTGGGGGATACAAGAGGGGGTCTCAGCTGCACTGGAGGATGCAAGCAGGGGTCTCCACTGTCCTGGCAGATGAAGGGTCCATGCTGCACTGGGGGTTGTAGGGGATGGGGCCCTAATATCCTGGGAGATGGAGACAGGAGTCTGCACTGCCCTGTAGGACAGAAGCTCCTAGGAGCCTCTGCTGCACAGGGGAATGGAGGCAAGGGGGCTCTGCTGGACTTGGAGGGTCCCCAGGCTACAGAGTGGTGAAGGTGGGGGTCTATGCAGTCTTGGAGAATTGAGGAGGGGGTCTCTGCTGCCCTGGACAATGGAGATGAGGGGTCTCCACTGAACCGAGGATGAAGGTTGCTCTTGGCTGCATGGGATGATGCAGGTGGAGGTCTCCGCTGTCCTGGGAGCCAGGGCTGGGGGGCCTCCAGTGTCTCAAGACAAGTAAGGTGAGGATCTTGGCTGTCCCAAGTGACCCAGGAGGGAATCTCCACTGTCCTGGCAGATCAAGGCAGGAGTCACCACTGTATCTCTATTGGACTTGGCGGTGAAGGTGGGAGGTCTCTGGAGCACTTTCTATTTTCAATAGAAAGTGACTTCTCTGCTGCCCTGGGGGACGGAGATGGGCATCTCTGCTGTTGTGAGAATGGACTGACAGGCACAGCATGGCTGTCATGAGAAGACAACAAAGAGGAAAGTGAAGGACAGCAGTAGGCAGAACAAGGAGACGGCGAAACCCAGGCAGGTGCCTTTCTCCAGCAGATGCAAGGTTACCTCCTCGCTCAGCTGCTCCCTTTTGTGGGCATCCAGCAGTGTGTGGTGGTGCTCCTGCTGTGAGGAGGAGCCGCGGAGCAGGGCAGGACCTGACCCCCACCCCGGCCACAGGGGACAGGCATCCACAGGGTGCCCAGGCAGCCACCTGCTAAATGATGCTGGTGCTGAATTCCTGGCTGAGGCTGTGGACAAAGCTGTTCACCTGTTTGTGCACCTGCCAGTCCATGCCCACCCCATTCACCAGCACAGCAGTGTTTGCTCTTCATCTCGTAGTGGGGGCCCAGTGGAGGCCCAGTGTCCAGGTGCTGCTGCAGGTCACAGCCCTCCTCACTGGCCACCTGTCCTGTCCCCCTGCGGGTAAAGGCAGAGGTTGTTTTGAATCTCTGTGCAGTAGCAAGAGGAGTAATTGTGATCATGCAGAGGTCTTTGCAAGTAGAATAGTATTCATTGGCAACAACTGAGCTGACTTGAATTTTTGACTGAGCGAAACTTGCAATCAACGCTGTCAAACCGAGGTGTATCTGAGAGAAAGAAAGAGTAAAAAGCAGAAGAGGGAAGGGAGGCAAGGAGAGAGGGAGAGAGGGAGTGAGGGAGGCAAAGAGAAAGCAAAAGAAAAAAAGAAAGAAGGAAAAAGGAAAGGAGGAAAAGAGAAAAGCAGAATAGAAAAAAGAGAAAAGAAAAAAGAGAAAAAGAAAAAAGAGAGAGAAAATAAATAAGAAAGGAAGAAAGAAAGCAAAAAAGCAAGACAACAAGAAAAAAAACCAACAAAAGAAAAAAAGGCAATAAAACAAGCAAGGGGAAAAAGAGAAGGAAAAAAACCCCAACCAAACAAACCAAAAAATCCCCAGGCTCTCACCACCCCTGGTTCCAGCGCCGTACCCTACCCGCTGCTGCCACGCTCTGGTGCTGTGCACGCCTTTACCCCGAGCCGAGTCTTAAGGCCTTTGGGTCCCGCCCCCAGGGGCTGGTCTCAGCCCCGGTCAGCCCCTGCACATTTCTCCTTGACTGAGCCTTCTGGAAATGTCTCTGGGGGGTCCTTTTTGCGGCCCCACCAGTGTCCCGGAGCAGCAGCCGCATCCCAGCACGGTCCCCTGATTTGTGTGCCTCTGGATATGCCAGGTGGCAGGTTCTCCCGTGGAACATACAATTGTGAGATCCTGTGACTTACAATAGCAGCAGTGGAATGCTCCTCTGGCAACTGTAGAACAAAAAAAAAAAATGGTGGAACGCTTCCCTGGAACCGACAGAAGCTGAAACTGGGGCTGGGCATGGCCTTCTCCATCATGACATGATGACCATGCTGCTGGTGCTGCCCAGGTGAGCAGCTGTGGGCCCAGGAGCCAGAAGGGTGCTGGGGGGGGTGCCAGTTCCCAGCTGAGCCCTGTGACTGCCCTGTCCCCACAGGGGAGGGGACGATGCTGCTGCTGGAGCTGGGCATGGCCCCAACATCCTGCACAACATGCCCCAGGCTGCAGAGTCACTGTCATGGCTCATCCTCTGGATATGAACAAGGGTCATGCACACTGTGGAATTCATAGCAACCCTGTTCTACATAGGAGTAGCCACCCCTTCTGATGGCCTTTGAGCTGTTCCATCTGCTCTACGGTCAGTGAAGCCCAGCAGGTCAGGCACCTCTGTTTTTCCCTTGTTCACCGCCTGGCCCCAAACCGGGCTGCAGCAGCGGCAGGGCTGTGTGACGTGAGGAGAGTGTTTGGGGCTCTTGGCACCTGATTCTGGAGGAATTGAACCCTGATTCTCTTCCTTGCTCTCCTCTCTTGTCAGTTTACAGAGCCACCATGGATATGAACCTTCCTGATGGGCTGCCTATGTTGTAAATAACAATGGTTAATGGGATGGTACCTAACGGTCAGTGGACCAGTGGAACAGTGGAATGTTGAGAGCTCTGCAATCACCTATGGAACAAGTCAAACCAGCCCAATCCAGTTTGTTCAGGAACCTACTGTGCAGCTTAGATGAAAACAACACTGTATATGGAATATCAGGATGAAAACTCCGAAGTTCAGTGGCTCAATGACCCCCACAGGGGTCCCTAAAGACCCCCCAAGAAGACCCTCTGAGACTGACTGCACAGACTGAAGAGACTTAACAAATTAGATCCATGTATCACCTCAAGCCAATCGTGCATGGCAGGCAGAGTCATCCTCCCCTGCAACCAGCGCTGCACCGATGTGGGGAAGAGCTCGATGCAGCGACCTGGTCCCAAGGCTGAGCTGGGGAAAGTCAGGGAATGATGGCAGAAACCCCGGAGGTGCCCCTGTGCTACAGGACGCTGATGCTGGGGCAAGGTCTCTGGACCAAAACTTCACCTGGTCCTCTAAGTAAAGATGTTGCTTCAGGCTGTTTGTGTGATGGGAGGGTGGGGGGGAGGTGTAGAAAAGCTCCCCTGGGCTGGGCACTATTGGGGGCTCTGAGAGGGTGGGCCCCCCCCAGCCACTGCCACCAGCTTCTCTCTCTCCCCACAACTTGAAGACCACGTCCAAAGGTTGGGTTTTTGCAGGGGCTGTGGTA